AGCTGAAGCTCACCGCCGCCGCGGGGCCCCAGCGGCTGCCGCTCGGCCGCGACCGCGCCGGCGCCGGCGCCGGCGACGGTCCGGGGGTGCCGGTGTCGCCGCCGCCGCCGCCGCCCGACCGTCCCGCCGGAGTAAGGTCCCGCGCGTGGTGGCGGTGCATGGTGGTCGCCGATGACGGGAGCGGCGGGTTCGGGACGAGCGGGAGCAGGGTGGTCTCGATGGGGAGGAGGAGGTCGAGCGTCGCGGTCGGGCGCAGGAAGGTGCCTCACGCGGCAACGACATCGACAACGACGGCGAGTTCTCGGAACGGCGGCGGTGGTAACGGTTCCGGGGATCGGATTCGCGTGCCCCTCGAGCGGCTAAAGCGGGCCGTCGTCGCGGGCCCGAACACCCTCATCGTGGATCTCGAGGTGGAGGAGGAGGCCGCCGCTGGGGGGCGGGCGTGGAGGCCGGCGACCCTAGTCGTGGGGCCGTGCGACGCCCCCCGGCTCGGGTCGCTGCTGGTGGAGCGCGCGTTGACGGCGATTCCGAGGCGTTCTCTGGGGCAGGTGGTCCGGAGTGCGCGAAAGCTGGCCAGCAAGCCGCCCCCGTTGCCCCCGCGGCCGTCCGCTAGGGGCCTCGGGAGTAACGGTGGTGGTGGTGGTAGCGGCGCGGATGTGGTCAGGGGTACGACTGCGGCGGCAGGTGGGGCTTTTGTCTTTGCGTGACTTTTTGCTCTTTGTTTTTACTGCTTTGCGTGACGTTTGGCTCCTCGCTGAGGTGGTGGCTTTTGGTTGGAGTCATTTTTTGTTGGCGATAGAGAGACAGAGAGGGGTTTGTTGAGTTTGCTCCTGCTTCTGGATTGTCTCGACTCCAAGAACCTTTGTTGTTTTGGATTAAATTGTGCCGCGCGCGTTGTTGTCGGCAAGTAGTCACTTTTTCTCTCCTCACGTGCCCCCCCCCTCGCCCGCCGGCGTCCCCTTTTTATCACGTCCCGTTGCCGCCGATCGATGGCCAATCCACGAACACACGCTTGCACTGCTTCCGAACCTCCAGCGCCCCCGAAAGCGGAGGGAAGCTGGCAATCCGACCCCGGCAAGCTCGCCGCAAAGGAGGGGACCGGAGGCAGCAACAACAACCCCTTCGGCCCAAAAACGCCCCCGGCCGCCGGTCCGCATACAAACCTTTTCGGTAGCGGCGGGGCAGCAGCTTCATCGTCCCCTCCCCCGCTCCCACGGAGGTCCGGGTCTCCCTTCCAGTCCCGGGAGGAAGCGACGACGACAGTTGTCGTGGCTGCTTCTTCTGCTTCTCCCCGGAAGGGAGGAGGCGGCCCCCCGGTGTTCTTCCCCTCCTCTTCGGGCCCCAGCCCCCCGGCCGCCGGCCCCCTGGAAGCGGTGCTGGGGGATGCGGTGGGGCTGCTGCAGCAGGCCGGGCGGGCGGTGGCCTCCCTGGACGATGCCTACAACGCGGCGTACAACGCCTCCGCGGCGGCGGACGGGTGGGGGGGGCAGGGGCACGACGTCGCGGAGCTGGGGGAGGTGAGGGGGGGGGGGGGGGGGGCTTCCAAAAGGGGTCAAGGGTGGGGGGGGGAAAAAAGGGAAGGGGGGTTCCGTTTTTTTTTTGGGAACTT